GGTAGCAGCAGATGGTCCGCCCCTGGCTCGCGCTCGCGACTTGCAGCGTCAGTTGCGCGTGGGGGCGGGGAGCCACATGCGCAAACACCCAGCGAAGGAGATTCACCGACTTCGAAGACAGGTCTCCAGGATGCGGCCCACGGCCAAACTCAATGCAGCTCTCAAGACGAAACGCTTCCCAGGACGCCCCAAAGCCCGCCCCCGCATCCCCGAACTCAATTGGACCCAAGACGACGTGACTTTGACGGCGACGACGACCAGACAGAAATCCAAGATGTTGACGGACTTCTTTTCGGAGCTTTTCGGGAACCCGACCCCAGCGACCTCTTCGTCTGCCCCTGACCCCCCTGCCCCAAAACGACCGACGACGAAAGACCCCCCGTGGATGCATCATCACTGGGGTCCGTCTGCGCTCGAGGCCTTTAGACACCTAGATCGTGGGTGGGTTCAGGAGGCTTTACTCAAAATGAAGATGGGTAAGCAGGGTTCTAAGCAAGGTGGGGTAGTGGTGGAGATGTTAGCGCAGTTGCCCGAACAAGCTTTCGAGTGCGTCGCCGACATGTTTAAGCACCGTCTGCTGAACTCGCGAGGCGAGCACAATGATAACGTCTGGGGGTCTCACATGATCAATCTTTTAACGAAGAAGGGTTTCTTCACGTCGGGGAGCATCGCGGACTTGCGCCCCGTCACGCTGCTGCCTGTCATTTACAAATGGTATAGCCACGCCCTACTTCTCCTCCTCAGTCCTGAACAACGGCAACATTCGAAGTATCAGTTCGAATTTCGAAACGATTTTCAAGCAGAGGAAGTTGTTTTCATTTTCCAGCAATTGTTCGAGAAATGCAACGAGTGGGACCCAGGGAACCCCCTCTTCACCTTCGCGGGAGATATCCTGAAAGCTTATGATTACACGGACCGCGGTGAGGTGGCCCAAGCCGGCGCAGATTTTGCTCGCTGGCTGGTTCCGAGAAGTAGGCAGAATGACAGCGACGGTTTCACTGGACGACCTTACCTGTTCGGCTCCTGTCGGCAGAACTCGTTCACTGGTGCAGGGGGGCCCTGCTGCGTCATATCTGTTCAATCTGCGGCTGGACGTCCTGATTGACCAGTTCGTCAAACGCTGCGAGAAGTATGAGTGGGGTTTCCGCTGGCAGGTATCCACCGACAGGCAGGAGGATTTGTTTATCCCCATCTTGTGCTTCGCGGACAATTTCTGAATCCTGGGTAGGACCCGCAGGGAGATGAAAATTATGACGGAAAGCTGGCTCCAGATCCTGCGAGACGGTGGATACGAAGTGGATTTTTCTGAGTGTGAATGGTCGAGTACGTCTTTCCCAGAGGCTTCCTGCTGGAACGAAACGGTTTCGATTCAGGGACACGAAATCCGACGGGTTCCAAACATCGAAGGTATCAAGATCCTGGGGGCCATGTTATCACACGACGGACGAGATGATGTAGCATTGAAGTATCGGATCTCACAAGCCTGGAAGTCTTGGTTTAAATGGCGGTCTGTATTCTGCCAGCACCACGCGCCGCTCGAGAAGCGGCTCCTTTTGTGCGACAGCGTGAGCCGCAGCAGTCTCTTTTGGGGTGCGAAAGGGTGGAACCTGAGAAAAGACCAGTACGCCAAGCTGAGAGGCCTCCAAGATACCCTACACCGTCGAGTTTTTTGTATTCCGAAAAGTTAGCCATGAACCCTGGGGAGATTTTATGATCCGTACTTATGGTAAGATCAACGACGTGAGGAAAAAAACTGGGGATTCTTGATTGGGATGAGTATCTTATGCAGCTGCAGTTTCGATGGGCAGGACATCTAGAGCAACTGAGTGTGAGAGACCCCGCCCGCTTAACCCCTCAGGTCCTCCATTTTCGGGGCGCCAGGTTCCTTCGAGCGCAGGAACGAGCTCTCGGTCGCGGGCGCCAAGGCCACGCGCGCGAGCTCCGTCCCTGGAGGTGGGGATCCTTTCCCTCTCGTTGCCCTCACCTCCCCCAGCCCTGGAATGCGCGCGCCCAAAGCTCCGAGCATTGGCCCCGCTACATGAATATAGTTGTTCCGTGGCGATCTGTTGCGCACTTTTAGTTTCTTGGAGATTTTCCGTCGCCTTCAGTCTCCCAGCTCTGGTCAGGGCCGAACTCGTTTCGAGGAGCATACATACATACATACATCATCAGCATCCTCCGTCTCCTCTTCCTCCTCAGCCTGCTCCTCCGCCTGCTCCTCCTCATCCTCCTCCTCCTCCTCCTCCTCCTCCTCCTCCTCCTCCTCCTCCTCCTCCTCCTCCTCCTCCTCCTCCTCCTCCTCCCTCCCCCCCCCCCCCCCCCCCCCCCCCCCCCCCGATCATCCTCACCCTCCTTCCTCAACCTCGTGGCAGCAAGAGGTTTTGATGAACTGGCTTTTGTGGGGGGCATATTGCCCTCGGCGTCACTGCCGGGTTCGCTTCGACATCTTGTCTAGATCGTTCCCCAGGGCGGATCCAAAGCTTAATTGTGAGGGTTGAGGACGAGGAGGAGGAGGAGAAGGACCAGTGTAAACCTATGGCTCATCAACGATGTTGGCGTAAGCCTTCCCTCCAAGCTCCCTCTTGACAGGCCATTGCAAGGGTTCTTGTCTACTGAAGGAAGTGCCCCGTCGGCAATCAACCGTTTGATGACCATGAAGCGTGCCAAACACCGTTATTGGGACTTCAGCACCACGGATCAACATGACGGTTGCGTGTTGACGGCCCTGAACCGCGGAAGATCATCATTCTTGGGACTTCAGCGCCGCGAATCAACGTAACTGGTGCGCCTTAACATTCATGTGTCGTTACAAAACACTGGTTCTGGAAAAGTAACCCTGATATCCAGCTAAACCCTTGCACTCATGAGCTGTAATTAGAAGACGAATCTGCTCGGCTGTAAGGCGAGGGCCACATTTTGAAACGGAGCCGCCCTCCATATTTGAAGCTCTTGGGAAGTGTTAAACGAATGAGCGCGGCGCTAAAGCGAGAGCCACGTTTTGAAAACCACCCGCCCTCAATCCGTGAAGCCCTCGCAATGTTTTAAAACGAATGTGCGCGGCTCTTGAGCGAGAGCCACATTTTGGAAGCGGCCCGCCCTCCATCTGCGAAACTGCTGCCACTTTTTAGTTTGCAGGATCCTAAATGGTAACGAACTCCCAGACGAAACGCCAGGGACGTCCTTCCGCTTGGCCTCGGAGCGCGACTAGGTGTAATTTGTTATTGCGGAATGGAGGAGGAGGAGGAGGAGGAAGAGGAGGAGGAGGAGGAGGAGGAGGAGGAGGAGGAGGGGGAGGCAAGGAGCAAGAGGAGGAACGAGTGCTACGTAGATTGTTCCTGGCGGTTTCAGGGGGTCCTGGGGGGTTCAAAGGCGAGCCCATGGGGTTCAAGGGGAAGGGGGCACAAGTGGACAGAGGGAGAGTGGGAAGACGTGGAAGGTGTGCCAAGTTCCACGCACGGGCGCCACAAGCTGTCTCGGTCACTGCCACCCGCCCTCCCACCAGATGAGCAGCACCCGAGACTAGGCAACGAGCGCTTGCTGATGGACAGCCATTGGTAACAAGCACAGAGGCCAGGTGCGACACCCGCTACCGAGGTGAGCTGGGTGTACCAGTTTCGCCACGCGCACCACGTACGCCACGTACGCCATTTGTTCCACATTGCTCCACGCGGGCTCCTGGTGCTCCACGAGCACCAGGTCTGCGACGCTGCCAGAGTGCGCCAGTGGCGCCAGGTACGCGGGTACACATGGAGGCACATATCGGGAATTACGTCGGCAGCCTCACAACCCCTAACTGCAGTCGAGCATTTGGTTAAGACACCCCCTCCCGAAAAGCTGGACCAGCGTTTCTTGACAAACTTGCCGGAAAGCTGGCCCAGTTCCTTGAGGACGTTCGCCCCTCCAGCGTTAGTCAGAGCAATTGGCCCAGGCTTGTTTGAATCAACTTCCGGGAAGCTGGCATCGATTTCTGAATGGATAGTTTTCTTGATCGCATGTTCGGCTGTGGAACTTGTCAGAGTGGCGGCGGGGTGGCCAGCACCGCTTGTGGTGTGCGACACGCAATCACAAAGCACTGTCTTTCACAGGGGTGGCGGGCAAGCGCACAACGGATATAGATTCACACCCCCACGTCGGGTTTTGCGTAATGGGGGGCGATAAATGAGGAGTGAGGAAAGGTGCACTAGTGACGATGGGGGACCCGCACAGGGTGCATTCCGCCGCTACATTGCAGTAGTTGTTGAAAGGATGGTGGGCAAGCAACGAGCGGAAAGTACGGTCGGGAACTTTTGGGTAGCGTGTCGCTTCGCCGGTTCTGGCGCACCGCGCTTCGGCGCGACACGCTATCCACGTCGGCGTCCCGAGCTTTCTCGTGGCTCCCGCCCCGCGGGGCGGAGTGACACGGTATCCGCTTGCAAGGGATCGCGTGTCGCCGTGGCCGCGGCCGCGACATGCTAAGCAAATGCTCCCGACCGCTCGCTCCCATCCCACAACGCTTCGAAACAAATGTGCAGACTGACGATGGGGTGCCCGCGCATGGTGCAGCGATTGCCGAAGCATGCACTTGTGTTGACAAGGATGGTGTGGGTGGGCAAGCAAGTCCTGGTCGGCGGCCAGACGGACGGGGAGAGGGTTTGCAGTGATGATGATCAACGACCGAAGCAAGGAGGGCAGAGGGCATGTGGGGCAAGAGAGGACAGGGGTGGGCAGAGGTGAGCAGACTCTAGCTCTCCCTCCTCCTGCACATCCTCGCTCTTCTCCATCTCTTCCTCCTTCTCCTCCTCCTCCTCCTCCACTTCCTCCTCCCCTTCCTGCACATCCTCTCTCTACTTGTCCGATCCCTCCTCCCTCATCCTCAGGCTCCTTCTCCCCATCCTCGAGTTCCGTCTCTCCTCCCTCGTCGCTCCATCCTCATCCTCCCGCATCCTCTTCCCTCCTTCCTTCTCTGCTGTCTCCTCCTCCTCCACCTCCTCCCCCTCCATCTCTTCCCTTGGGACTTGGAGGATACCTGATTGCATCGGGCGCTGGATTTGTAGAATTAGAGGGAGGCCAGCCAAGCCCGCCGATCTGCATGTGATATGTGGCTTCCTTTGCGCCGCTTTTGGCGCTGCGCCTGGGTCCTCTAGACCGCATCTTCCGCGGGCGCAACGGCCTGACTCTGCTCATCGTCCCCTCATCCTCGTCCTCCTCTTCCCCTGGGGGTGGAGGCAGGGAGGGCAGATTTCCCATTCTTCCTCAAAACTTGTTTGCATTCAGAGGTTGTTCTCTGTTTTATTGCACTGGCCTTGTATTGCGCAGTCGGCCATTGCCGTGTGAACCGCTATGGTTTGGACCGCTACGGTTTGGTCGATTCCGCCCGCGCCCATGAAATCCAACAGAAGCTGGACGAAGCAGTTGTTTGGGGTCCCCGCGCGGGCATCGTTGAAAGGTTCAGGGGGGCCGTGCGATTGTTTCTATAGCTTTGTGTGTAAGGTTTCAGAGGGTCCCCAGAGATTATGATAGGCTCTGGGACCCTCTTCCTCCCCCTCCTCCTCCTCCTCCTCCTCCTCCTCCTCCTCCTCCTCCTCTGACAGGCAGGCCTAGCCGCCTTGGCGCCAGAGCAGGCCCGAGTTCCTCTAGGCCTTTGGCGCCGCGATAGAATCGCGAGGGTGACCCTTTCGCGGCTCCAGACGCTGGAGATGTTGCTGCTTCCGGCAAGGCCTGGGGGCAGTTGGGGCTGCTTCTGGGAATTGTCTTCCTTGCAGCCTTGGGCGTCGCCCGCTATTTCAGGCCGCAGTCACGCGCGCCTCGCCAGCCTGGCACTGACAGACTCAGCAATGCTCGGGGGTTGCGTAATGGGGGGGGCGATACGTGAGGAGGGACCGAAAGGGGTCCTCAAGGAGCCCCCTGGGGCCTAAAAGGGGCACGAAAGGTGCACGTTCTTCTGCCCCCCCCCCCCTTTACCCTCGGCCTCTCAAATTGGGCCCGAGTAGATGGGGTCGGAGGATATCGCTGCATCGCCGATGCATCGCCGAGGTCGCCGATGCATCGCTGATGCATCGGCGATGCATCGGCGATGCGGCGCGATCCTCCAACCCCATCTACTCGGACCCCATCCTGGGGGCCTCTGGTAATCGCTCCCCCCATTAAGCAGAGCCCGCCATGCGAAGCGACACCTCCAAACAACCAGGCTGTCCGCCCTCGCCTCCGGCCTCTCTCCCGGCGCTGCCCGCGTGCCTGCGCCGTCCATCGATCTCCCTGCTCACGAGCATCGACCTCGGAGGGCCGCGGCACGTGCCCATGCAGTACGGTCAAGACGCTGAAGTAAGGACCACTTTGGGCTGCGGAGGGGCTCCGGTTCTCGGGCCGTGCGATCTGGATCGGGGGACCTCCTCGTGGCTGAGGCTCGCCGTGGCGAGAAGAGCCCGTTCGTTCCTTCGTCAGTTCTCTCGATGGCAGCACCACGACGGGTCGTCGGGGGATCGCAGGTACGTTCGATCATCGGCAATCGCCAGGCATCGAGGAACAGAAAACTGCATGCACAACAAGCTGCCGGAGCTCCGCGCGGATTGCCTGGATCTGCGCTGGGCCCCCCTCTTGCGTGCTCCGCTCGTCAGGCAGGGGTGGCCAGCGGAACTCCGGAAATTTCAGTTTGAGCCGTTCTTCCTTCCTCTAAGACAATCGTTGGCAGGCGGTTGCCCTCCAGAGCTGACCTCCGATTGTGCCGCGAACGCTGTCCCTGACAGTGGTTCAAAGAGGGCTGCAATTAGAGCCTCAGGATTCTCACACCATGGTTTGATCGAAATTCCCGGCTCAGGGTCTGGATCTCGTGTCGCAACGTCTCTCGTGTCCGACGGCCTTGCCAGATCATCCACGTTGACTTGCTCGTCCCACGTCTCCCCGTGGTGCTGTCGAACGCCGTGTCGCCAGGCTGGTGAAAGTTGGATTGTGTGGTCAGACCATCCTCTTCCTCTGCCCACCAAGGCTTGCCAAGGGGTGGTGCGAAAAAATTGCTGCGGGCGGGTGGATCCGGCCCCGCCGCAGGGCGCTCTCCTCGATCCTTCGTCGCCTCTGGCACCGGGAGAGCGGCAGGAAAACAAGTCACGTGAGGTGCTCCGCATAACAGGAACCAAGGACCGCCCCCTCTTTCGTCCCACCCGAAGGGCTTCCAGCTGGCACCCGCCGGAGAGGCGAGAGGCGGAGCGGTCCGCTGCCCGCCCTCGCCCACCGCCCGCCAGATCGGCACCCCATCCGTGGCGCGCGGCTCGCCTTTGGCCCAGGCTCGGCGAGCCCGGCTGGCATGCGCGCGCCTCCTGCATGTCTCGGAGGAGCAAGAGAGGTCACGACAATGATGCGTTCCATGATTGCCAGCTCGTGTTCTACACACGGGCTGCAGAAGCGAGGGCCGCCAGATGCTCTGGAATTTCTGGGACGCATCCTGAGCCAATCGCATCACGACATCATTCTCGTCCAAGCCTCCACCGCTCTCTCTTGCCAGCCCCTCCCTGGTGCCGCTCTGCCCCGCCGCTCTTCGCCGCTGCCGCCTTCCCCCCGGCGGGCTGGCAGGATGGACGGAGCCATATTGGTGGCTCCGATCTTGGACGAGGAGTCCGAGCACCAGGATGGGTTGGGTCGAAGAACAAAAAGCGGCATGAAGATAAATTGTTGGAGCTCCACGCGGATTTCTTGGATCGGCGTTGGGCCCCCTTGGCGGCGCCTCCAGCTCCGCCCCTGACGCGCCCAACGCGCCAAGGAGGTGGGTCCAGCACCGATCCAGGAAATCCGCGCGGAGCTTCGAAAGTTTATGAGTATGCAGCTTATTTTTCTTCTTATGAGCATTATTCTAATGTGTCGTAGTGCTATATTCTTCTTCGATGTCTGGCAATCACCAGTGACCGCACGTACCTGCTATCCTCCCACTACAGTCGTGGCACTTCCACAAGCCACCTTGAATCAGGAACGAACGGGCGCTTCAGGCCACGGCGAGCCTCAGCCACGAAGACGTCCCCCGACCCAGATCTAAGCGAGGATCCCGAGGCCGCCTACTTACGATCCCGTGCGTTGCGATGCGCTTCACCGGCAGGGGCCGCGAGCCCGATGCGCCTCGACTCGGCATGGTGCCCGGGCATCGAGGAGGGGGCGAACGAGAGCCAGGCGCTGCGAGCCGACCTCGATCCGATGTGGGGCAGTCCCTTGGCGGCCCGATCCCTTGGAGGCCTCCTCCTCCTCCTCCTCCTCCTCCTCCTCCTCCTCCTCCTCCTCCTCCTCCTCCTCCTCCTCCTCCTCCTCCTCCTCCTCCTCCTCCTTCCTTCAGTGGAGCAAGACCCAGACCCCTTCGAGTCATGAAAAAATCCAGACGGGAGGTTTCTCGCTATGTTCGCCCCCCGGGGGCCCTCACCAGGTCTCGGGGCCTTCAGAACACGACCCGGAACGAGAAGCTGGTCCTGGAGAATGGGTCGAGACCTCTCGGGGTCGACAGATTCCGAACAAAAATCATGATGTCGGGGGTCTGGGGAGGTCATGATCATCCCAGACATCCGGCGTCTCGAAAAAAGTGAGACGGTAATTTGTCATAGTTTTCTGTTTCTCATCGAAAAACGATTCGGGATGAGAAGCCTGTCCAGGGGAAGTGGACGGGAGGTCGGGGGCCCGTGTCCCAAAAATCGAGACGCCGCATGTTTGGGATGATTCGTTCAAGGCTTCGCTCGGTTTCCAGGATTTCCGGGATTTTCTTGACGCTCCACACGGGCAGGAGAAACGAGGGCCGCCGGATATTCCAGAATTCTTGGAACGTGCCTTGACGCATCATGGCATCATCCCCATCCCCAGACTCCCAGCGTCATGATTTTGTCATGACGTCGACCCTGAGAGGTCTCGTCCCATTACCTGGGACCGGCTTTTCGTTCCGCGAGGCTTCGCAAGGTTTCCAGGATTTCCACGATTCCCTTGACGCTCCACACAGGCCGGAGAAACGAGGCCCGTTGGATGCTATTTACTGGAACGTGTCTTGACGCATCATGACGTGTCTCGACGCATCATGACATCATCCCCACCCTCAGACCCCCGACGTCATGAGTTGTTCATAACGTCGATCCCGAGAGGTCTCGACCCATTACCCGGGGCCGGCTTTTCGTCCCGAGTCTTTCTCTGCCGGCCCCGAGGCCCGGTCGGGGCCCCCGAGACCGAAAACGGCGCCAGCCTCCCAGCTGGAACGTGTCATGCCTCCGCCCCGTCCAAGATCCGACTCTGCGATCCGATCGGGCCCGAGCCGCGGCGAGAGCAGGCGCGCGCGAACACGGGCACCAGGCGCACCGGGAGGAGGCGCCGAGGTTCTCCCGGCCTGAGAGCCAGTCGACCGCGCCCCCAAGGAGGCAACCCTCCGCCCGAGCACGACCACCACTGGTGCGGTAGCTTCGCGTCGCGTCGACCGGCGGCGACCCCGCCGCTGGCGCGTTCAACGTTGAACGCCGGCGGCGACCAAGAGTCAGTCGATTTGAACGGTCTGACATTTCGGAAAAGGCCGATCGTTAACGGTTGAATATCCCCGCGGTGTCGTCCTTGTCGTTCCCTCCTTGTCGTTCCCTCGTCGTCGTCGTTGTCGTGTCCTCCGTGCGCCGGGCGCCATTACGACAGCTTTGCAGCTTTGCAGTGTGGATCGGACTAGTGGTGCGTCATTCATAGGATGTAGTGCGCGGACACCAAAAAAACGCGGTGTCGGCAACCCATTCCGAAGTCGGCACGACATGAACCGGCCGCACGGAGAGCCGGTCGACCACGCCCCCACCGAGGCAACCTCCGCCCGAGCACGGCCACCGCTGGTACGGTCCCAGATCGAGTCACGAAAAAACGTGTTTCCCGTCGGCGGCAGGACAGAGGCAGTTCGCTCCAGCGCGTGGCTATCTGGGGCAACCGAAAGGCTAATTGTCCGGCGTGCAAGAGGGAGGAAGAAGACGAGGGCAGAGGGGGAGGAGAAAACGCCCAGACGTGGAAGATTTCCGCGTAGAGCAGGCTGGAGCGGCGAGTCACGAAAAAACGCGACGGGAGGTGTTTTCACCATTGTCGGCCTCTGGGGGCTCTTGCTGGGCCTCGGAACCGTCCGAAAACGACTCGGGACGAAAAGCGGGTCCCAGGTAATCAATGGGTCGAGACCTCTGGGGGTCGACGTACTGGAAAAATCATGACGTCGGAGGTCCGGGACCGCTGGTACGGTGGGGTCGCTCGTTATGGAAAGTGTGCAGGAGGTTTCAGACCCTGGGGGGTTCCTTCATCTGATGTGGGCGGCGTTGGTATCCATGGCCAATGGCCAATCTACGATAGGTGCTCCACCAGGCTTCGAGACCTTGGATTCCTTATGCAATGGTTCCTTAGCCCATGCCCTCACAGGAAGGCTTCAGGTTGCACTGGGGCACGAAGCGCCCCAGGGGCGCCGCCGGAGGCGGCGCTAGGGTGTTGAGACCGCTTGCGCTTTTCGAAGACACAAAACAACAAGTGTCACGCGTGCTCTTGCTGTTGCTCTTGCACATTTGAGGAGAGACGGAGGAGGAGGCGCAGGTGGGGGGATCGAGGAGACAAGGAGGAGGAGGACGAGGAGGAGGAGGAGGAAAAGGAAAAGGAGGAGGAGGAGGGGCAGGTGGGGCCAGGGCGCCCCGAAACAGCGGTTGTTGATTGGGACCTCTCGACTGAGTTTTTGTTGACAGCTGAGGCGCGGTAGATTTTTCGAGGCTGTGCCAGGGGGGGGGGGCTGGGTCAGGTACAGGGCCAGGGGGGCGAGGGGGGCTAGGGCCAGGACCAGGTGGGGTAGGCTGGGTGCAGGGCCAGGGCCACCAGGGCGAGGGGGGCTGGGGCCAGGACCAGGGGGGGAGGTTGGGTCCAGGGCCAGGACGGGATCCAGGGGCAGAGCCAGCGGGCGAGGGGGGCTGTGGCCAAACCAGGGGGGGAGGTCAGGTCCAGTGCCAGGACCAGGGGGACGACGACGAGGGGGGCTGGGGCCAGGACCAAGGGGGGAGGCTGGGTCCAAGGCCCGGACCAGAAGGACGACGACGAACGAAAATATAGGGTCCGGCGCGAAGGGGGCTGGGGCCAGGGCCAGGTGAGGCGGCTGGGTCCAGGGCCAGGGCCAACGGGGCGAAGTGGGCTGGGGCCAGGACCAGGGGGGGAGGTTGGGTCCAGTGCCAGGACCGCGAGGGGGGCTGGGGCCAGGGCCAGGGGAGGAGGCTGGGTCCAGGGCCAGGGCCAGCGGGGCGAGAGGGGCTGGGGCCAGGACCGGGGGGGGAGGTTTGGTCTAGGGCCAGGACCAGGGGGACAACGACGAGCGAAAATCAAGAGATCCGCGCTCTAGAACACAACTGTGCAAGAGAATAGAAGGGCCGGGGCGGAGGGGGCGCTATGGCTGGTGTGTGGGGGGGGGGATGCGGAGGGGGCCCGCGGGATGGGAGGGGGCCAGTGTCGTGCCGAAATAAAAGGCGTCGGGGCGGAGGGAGCGCGCTGTGCGTGGGGTGATGCAGAGGGGGCGCTCGGGATGGGGGGGCGGTGCCGTGCCGAAACAAAAAAGTCGGGGCGGAGGGGGCGTGCTGGTTGGTGGGCGGGGTGATGCGGAGGGGGCCCGCGGGATGCGGGGGGGGGGGGGGCCGTGCCGAAATAAAGGGGTCGGGGCGATGGGGGCGGTGCCGTGCCGAAATAAAGGGGTCGGGGCGGAAGGGGCGCGCTGGCTGGTGAGTGGGGTGAGGTGGTTGGGGTGCGGGCCGGAGGGGACGCGCTGGTTGGTAGGTGGGAGAATGCGGGGGGCCTATCAGAAGGGGATTGGGGCGGGGCGGGGCCGTGCCGAAATCAAGGGATCGGGGCGGAGGGGGCGGGCTGGCTGGTGGGTGGGAGACGCGAAAGTGGCGCGCCGGATGGGGGGACGGCGCCGTGCCGAAATAGAGGGGTCGGGGCGGAGGGGGCGCTCTGGCTGGCGGGGGGGGGGGTGCGGGGGTACGGGGGGGGGCGCGCAGGATGGGAGCGGGGCGGTGGGGCGATGGAGGTGGCGCTCGGGATGGGGGAGGCGGTGCCGTGCCAAAACAAAGGGGTCGGGCGGGAGGGGGCGCGCTGCTGGCGGGCGGGGCGATGCAGAGGGGACGTTCGAGATGGGGGATCAGTGCCGTGCCGAAAGGTCGGGGCGGAGGGGGCGCTCTGGCTGGTGGGTGGGGTGATGCGGAGGGGCGTGCGCGATAGGGGCGGGAGCGGTGCCGTGCCGGAATAAAAATGGGTCGGGGCGGAGGGGTCGCGCTGGCTGGTGGGCGGGGTGATGCGGAGGGGCGGCGCGGATGGGGGGGGGGGGGGGGGGCGTGCCGAAATAAAAAGGTCGGGGCGGAGGGTGCGTTTTGGCCAGTGGGTGGGGGCGCGCAGAGGGGCGCGTGGGATGGGAGGGGGTTGGGCCGTGCCGAAGTGAAGGGGTCGGGGCGGAGGGGGCGCGCTAGATGGTGGATGGGGCGATGGAGAGGGAGCGCTCGGGATGGGGGGGGGCGGTGCCGTGCCGAAATCAAAGGGTCGGGGCCGACGTGGGCGCGCTGGCTGGTGGGTGGAGCAATGCGGAGGGGGCGTGCGGGATGGGGGGGGCGTGCCGAAATGAAAAGGTCGGGCTCAGGGGGCGCTCTGGCTGGTGGTCGGGGTGGGCGGTGTGATGCGGGGGTGGCGCGCGGGATGGGGGGGCGGTGCCGTGCCGAAATAAAGCGGTCGGAGCTCTAGATACCCTGTGCAAGAGAATAAACATACACGTTGGAGCCCCCAGGCGGCGCCTCCAGCACCGCCCCTGGTGCGCTCCGCGCGCCGGGGAGGGGGGCCCAGCGCCGATCCAGGAAATAAGCGCGCACCCTCGAAAGTGTAGTGTGCCGTCTCTCTAGCTTCGCACTCGTGGACTCTCGGGGAGGCGGGTGCACGGACGTTTCAAGCCGCGCCGCGCAGCATCACCACATTTTCGCAGCGCCCATGGTGGGTTGCGCCGGACCATGGGCGCCATAGGTGGATCGGGAACGAAGGCCCAACGGACCCTAGCGTTGGAAATAGGAGTAGGCGAGATGCATGTCCTAGTTGCAGATTCCGATGCCTCGAGTCTCGACCAGGCGCACATGTTTGCCTCCACGCTGTGACGCCCGCGAGCGAGGAGCGACATGGCCACCGCGGCGGGCCACCAGCACTCGCTGGCGGGCTCCCTTCAGGGCTCGCTTCGCCGGAGGCTCGCTCAGCCAGAGGCTCGCCTCACCGGAGGCTCGGCAGCTGCGCTGGAGGCTCCGCTTCGCCCGAGGCCAGCGTGGCTTGTGGAGGAGGGGAAGCGGGGGAGGGCCAGGAGAAAATCCATAACGGGCGGAACGGCCTTGGGCGAAGCGATCCAGGGCGAAGCGACACTTGGCGAGGCAGGAAAGGGCGAAGCAGACACAGGTGAAGCAAAGCCCAGCAAGCCGTCAACATGCAAAACGAGACTTGGCGAAGCGAGTTTGGGGCGTGGGCGAAGCGAATCTGGGCGAAACAAAACGTTTTTGATGCGAGACTCAGGCAAAGGTAGCAGGGCAAAGCGAGACGGAAGCGAAGCGAGACGCGGGGGCGAAACTTGATGCGGGCGAAATGAGACGCAAGCGAAACAGGTGCACCCTCTCTGTAGTTTCCTCCTCCTCCTCTCCTCCTCCTCCTATTCCTCCTCCTCCTCTTCTTCTTCCTCCTCCTCCTCATCATCCTCCTACGCCCCCTCTCCTTCTCATGCTTGTTATGTTTTTCCTGCAGCTGTGCTCCCCTGCCAGACGGGGCCAGGTATATTTGCCGAACGGCAGCTGGTATGAGCTATTCACGAACAAGGTCAGGCCCCCGCTCAAGAGGAGCAGGAGGAGCAGGCCCACGCCCTTCACACACAAGGCTTGCCCCACTCCCCCCCCCCCTCCGACCTCCCCCCCCTCCTTAGAACCACACGACCCTACAGAATCCATCAACATCCGCCAGACTGCCCTAGCACCATTTCCCTCTCATCGTCTACACATCGCTTCTTATTAGTTTCCGTCGTCGTCTCCTGCTTCTTATTATGACTTTTATCATTATTAGTATGATTCCCAACTGTCATCCCCTGCCATCCCCTCCCACAGCCTCATCTATGCGAGTGGCACGCGCGCGAGCTGACACCATGTCGAGAAATTAGGTGGGGGGATTATGGCTGTACCGCCTGCTGTTCCTCTGCTCCTTCCCTGCGTCGCTGGCGGCGCCTCCCCATGGCCGAGGCCCACCGCGGCCGCAGGAGGCCTCTTCTAGCTCCTCCTCCTCCTCCTCCTCCTCCTCCTCCTCCTCCTCCTCCTCCTCCTCCTCCTCCTCCTCCTCCTCCTCCTCCTCCTCCTCCCTCTCCTCCTCCACTTCATCCTGCTCCTCCTGCTCTTCTCCTCCTCCTCCTGCTCCTGTTCTTCCTCCTCCTGCTTCCTCTCCTGTTCCTCCTCCTCCTGCTCCTCCTCCTCCTCCTCCTCCTCCTCCTCCTCCTCCTCCTCCGCCTCCTCCTTCTTCTTTTCCCCCTCCTACGCTCCTCATTGTACAGCACGATGGCGCCAGGCCTCCAGTGGAGCCCCCACCCCCTGTTGTGGCCTGCCCCCCCGGCTACTGCGGGAGGGTTCTTTAAGGAATGTGCCCAAGAGGTTTTAGACTTTGCAGGGCTCCAGCTGATGAAGGCGGCGGTGATTTGCGTGGCCAAGCCTCCATTGGTGTTCCACTGGCTTCAAGACCGTGGACTCCTTATCGAAAGGTCCCTTATCCAATGCCCTCGCCGTGCACCCCCCCTTGAGTTGTTGCCAAAGGTGACTCCGGCCCACGGTGATCCGAGCTTCCCCAGGGATGCCCAGATGATCCCAAGGCACCCCTCGCGAGGCCCAGGTGGCCCCAGCGGCCCCAACAGAAAGTGTACGCCGCGTCCTGGGCGGCCAAGCGAGAACGGGGGCATGGACAGAGGAAGAGGAAGGAAGGAGGAGGAGGAGGAGGAGGAGGAGGAGGAGGAGGAGGAGACGGAGACGGAGAAGGAGGAGGAGGAGGAGGCGGAGGCTTTCCCAGGGGGGCCCAGAGGATCCCAGGGCACCCCTCGCGAGGCCCAGGTGGCCCCAGCGGCTCCAGCAGAACACGGCTCGGGCCAGCGCCACCTCCAGCAACGCCCGATCCACTCGCGCCCCCCATGACAGGTCCAGAGACGAGGGCCACGAGGTCACAGTATAACTTTGCTGGAACTCTTCGGACGGGGCTGGGACAAGGCTGAATGCGATCCAGAGCGTTCCGAAACGCTCTCAGAGCGTTCTGGACCGCTCCAAGAAGGGCGCGGCGCCCGACACACTGAAATCTCGGCCACGCGCACAGAGGGGTAGGGGAGGGGGGGAAGGCTTCAGAAGCATCCCTGCTTTCTTGAAGGCGCGGGCCTTGTCTGTGGATGTAAAGCTGGCGCCTTTTAGATAGCAGCCTCCTTCTATCGGGCCGGGCGAAAGGGGGGGATTGGGAAAGGGGGGGGTACGAAATGTGCTGGATGCAGCTGGTTTCGGCCTCGCCGAGGGGCCCATTCCTCGATACGTGGCCGCCTCCGGCGCCGGGAGGCGCCGGGAAAATCAGCTACGTGAGCTGATTCTCAAACCCCCCTTTTGCTATCCCCCCTTTTCGCCCGACCCGATTCTAAGACGCCTTCCCCCCTCCCCATACCCCATGTGTGCGCGTCGCCAAGGAGTCACCCATTCATCTTAAACGGTTCCTGAGGAAAACGGGTTCTGGTTCTCTGACGGCCCCTTGGCCCGCGGAGGGCCCCGAGGGTCCGGACGCGTCGAAAAGCCTCAGGGCCCGTTTCCCTCAGGACCCGCTTCCCCCATGGCGATCGTCCCGAGCCAGTCCCATCATGCCATCAGTCTCGTCTTGGTGAGCGCCCCCCCGCCAGGTCAAGAAGGGGCCCACCGAGCGGCGAGGGACCGCCCCCGCGCGCGCGCCCCCGTGGGGGGGCCCGCGAGACAAGGGAAGGACTCGGCCGTGCGAAGCTCGGCCAGGCCGAGTTCAGCTGAGCGATGGAGGAAAACGGGCCATTTGCGCCGACATTGGCGCGCAAGCTGCTCGCGTCAGGTCGCGCGTAAGAGCCTTCGCTTCCAGCGTACAGCAACTGCTGCGTGCTGCTCCTTTTCGTTGCCCGCGTGCGTCGTTCCGCGCGTCCGTGCTACCACGTGTGCGCATGCGCCGACGGTCGCATGCACGCGACTGGCCCTTCGGCACTGTCGCGGCGGGCCGCGCGGGGAGGGCGGAGGGGAGCGGGTCAGCGGTTCCGAGGCTTTGGAGGCAGTTGCGGATCAAGCGTTCTTTGCCGCTGCTGCGCCGCGGGCGCCGCTCGCGCGCCCGCGCGTGCTCCGCTTCTAGGGGTCAGGCTCTGCCAGCCGATGTGCTCTCCCAGAACGCGGAGACGCTGAAGAACACGAGCAGAACGACGGCCCAGTTTGCCAAATGGTACGCGAGGGCCGCCGATCCGAAGATCATCGAGTTGTTCCCCTCCACCGGAAGGCGAAATAATCGAAGCGCAGATGTTCAGCTGCGTGCTTGTGTCCAGCGAATCCCAGCAGCACATGCTCGGGCGTGCGCACTTCGACTTCAAGGACCACACTGCGGCGACCACCCCAGAACGGAAGCTCCAGCCCGAAACGGTTTGGGCGGCGCCGCGGGCGGAGCCGCCAGGGCCCAGCTGCGGCGCGCCATGGCGCGGCGGCTGGAGGGGACGCATGACGGCGGCGGCGGCGGGGCGCCTTCGGCGAACCCCGAGAGGTCTGGGCCCGCGGCGCCCAAGGGATGTCGATTGCACGCAAGAGTGACCCTTCGCTGGGGCCACCTCTGGCGCGCGACTTTCGGGGGGGCCCAGCCCAAGCACGCAGGCCACCAGCGTCGCGCCGTGCGCATCTGTCGACAGGCCGCGCACCACAGGTCACCTCTGCCCAGGGTCATGCTTGCGCGTCGCCCAGGATACTCACATGGCGGTCGAGGACCCTTCGTGCGGCCACCAAGCGCGGCGGCGGAGGAGCCGCGCGCGGCAGGCGCTTGCAGATCCACTGGCCGCGACGGATCTGGAGCGATGGCGTTGAAAGGTGGCGCTGGTGCAACGCAGGCTGGCACCTGGGCGGCCCCGCGGGAGATAGCCTACTTCGTTTGCATGTATGATGGGTCGTTGCGTCTGGGCGAGGCAAACACGCCGATGGCGCCTTGAAGGCACCTGCTGTTTATCTGGTGAGGCTTAAGGCATTCCCAAGCGTTCTCGTTGCTTCCGGGTGAACATAAGGTTTGCTGCTGGCTCTCTTCCTCCTCACACTGCCCCCCATTTTCTCTCCCTGCCCCCCTTCCCTTTCCGCCCCTATCGCCCTCGTCCGCTTTCCTCCCTCACCCCCCTCGTTTCTCATCCCCCGCTCTCCTCCATCCACTTTCTCCTCTCTGTTTCTCTGCCCGTCCAGTCCTCCTCCCTTCTCCTCCCTCCGCCCTGCTGAGTCCTCCCCCCCCATCCCTCCTCTCACCTGGCTCTTCCCCCTCGCCGCCCCCCTTCCCCCCACACACAAAGAAGAAGAAGAAAAAAAAAAAAACGCCAGCGCAATGGGGAATGGTGGGAGCGGTAGGCTGGCAGATATGGCGCGAGCCCACCTAGGTTCCCCCCCCCCCCTCTCCCGCCTCTCCCTCACCCGCTCGGAGGCAGGAGCCACGGACCCAGACCCTAGCCGTCATGATTTTTGTTATAGCGTGGACCGACCCCCGGAGAAGTCGACCCGTTCCCCGAGACCAGTTTTCCATCCTGGGTCGTTTTTGGACGGTCCCGAGGCCTGGTAAGGGCCCCAGCCGAAAAAACAGCGAAAAACCTTCCATCGCGATTTTTCATGGCCCAAGGGGGTCTGGAGAGGAGGGCGGAGGCGGCGGTCCCGAGCCGGCCGCCAGAGGAACTCGGGCCTCGACGAGATACCCGCGTACGTGAGGCCCGGCACCATCGTCACGCTGGGCCCGGTGCGCCAGGGCGGGCGGCTCCCCGACGACGCCGCCGCCGCCGCCGCCGCCGCCGCCGCCGCCGCCGCCGACGACGACGACGACGACGACGACGACGACCTTGAGATCCTGGCACCTCGATTTTCTCATCCGGGCGTTTTCGTCAGGATTCGGGCCGCCCCGCGGGGGGGCGTTCGAGCGCGAAGGGCAGGTCTTGCTCGATCGGCTCGCGAAGAAGTGATGAGGGGCAGCAGTAGATGTCGTCAACTTCTTGTTGAGAGAGGCTGTCTCTGTCTGGCCCTGGCCTCGAGATCGCATCTTCGCTCGCCTTTTCGGTTCCTCGTCGATTAGCCCTCCCTCCTGTTTGAATCCTACACTGGCGATCGGCAGCAATTGGGGGACCACCATCGAAACAGCAAATGGGGAGGACCCTTGATTGAGTTTCCCCGAAAACCTCGAGCGAAAGGTAGAGGTCGTGGAACGAAAGGGCGCCAGTAATTTGCTAGGTGGTACCCAAAGGGGGGGGGGGGGGCGGCCCCATGGATCTTCCAGAGCGGTCATGCTCATGGTCATGCTTATGCTCATGTTCCTCCTCCTCCTCTTCCTCCTCCTCCTCCTGCTCCTCCTCCTCTTCCTCCTCCTCTTCCTCCTCTTGTTCCTGGGCCTCCTGGTGGGATCTTTGTGGGGGGGGGGGGGGGGGGGCGCTCGTCGTCACGGCCGGATTCGGTTCGAGGTTATGGTCGGAACGCGCATGAGTACAGGTCCGACGGCGAATCGTTTGGAAGAGCGGGAAAACGGGGGAGGGGAGGAGGAGGGAGGGAGGGATGGAGGGAGGGAGGGGAGGGAGGAGGAGGAGGAGGAGGAGGAGGAGGAGGAGGAGGAGGAGGAGGAGGAGGAGTGGCCCAGACCCCATGGCACCGCGCAGAGAATCACGATGTGGATCTGTGTTGCGAGTTCGGTGTCCAGGCGCCGTGTTCGGGCCTCGGGGCCGACAAAAACAGTTCGCGGCGAAGTACTGGTCCCAGGATGAGGTCAAAAGCTCTGGGGCCCACATCGCCAAGCACACACACTCACACACACACACTCACACACACACACAAACAAAACAAAAAACACGACGGAAGATGTCATTGGGGCTTGGCATCGCTCGGACGATCCGAATTTCTGTTTCGGCAAGGTCCACTGGGGAGGCGCAAGAGAAAACACACGAGAGCGACAACTGAACTTTGGAATGGACGTCCGAACGATGGCCAGGGGAGGAGGCTCCGAGGAGGGCCTCGCCAGACCCCCGACTTCGCGATCTGCTTCGCAGCGCGGACCCCCGCAGGTCTCGGCACCTTCCCTGGGACTAACTCTGCACCCCGAGTCGTTGTTTGACGGTTCTGGGGCCTGGCAGCGGCCCCCAGAGACCACAGAACGGCCAAAAACGCTCCGTCGCGACACCGTCTGCGACGCGAGGGGGTCGCCATGGAGGAGAGGGGTCCCGAGAGAGAGACTGCTCCTCGACCCCGGGCACTTCCCCAGTACAGGCAGTTCATCCGGAGTAGTTTCTGGGCGGTCCCAGGGCCCTCGGGGGACCGAAAGCAGCCACAACGAAAACAAGTCCATGGACATGTTCTTCTTCCAGGACCCGCTTCCTTCCTAGAGATCCTACAGTCGAGTTTGATCAGTAGGCCGACCCTGCCGAAACAAGGGTACCATTTTGGCGTTCAGCAGGTCACGTCTCGTGTCCCCTGCCCCTGGCAAGGGCGATGTCCTCGGGAGCGTCTTGTGTCCTCTCGCGTGCCCCCTCCAATCAAACTCGGGTGCAGCCCTCCCCCCCCCCCTTCCTCGCTGTTCCAGGCGCTCGGGCCCTGGGCACCTCCCCAGGACGAGTTCTGCATCCTGAGTGGTTTTTGGGCCCGGGGGGGGGGGGGGGGGGGGGCGAAAACGGCAAGGACGACAAGCATCAAGTGCGTGCCAGTCTTGGTCCTGCCCCCCTCTCATCCTCGAGGCTCCAGGCGCTGCAGGACCTGTCAGTTCCGCCTTCCTCCCCCCGCGCCCCCCTCTTGGCGCGCCCGCGGCGGCGGCAGCCCAGGTGATCCAGCACATGGGCGAGCTGCCGGGCGGGGCCCTGAAGGTGCGCGTCGCCGCCCTTCTCGCCGCCATCCATCCTCCCCTCACGGGTCGGGCAACGGCTGGCACGGAGGAGACGGGCCGGGAGGGGGACGCTGAGATCGGGGCGAGCTTTGCGCATGGCGCACGCCGCCCATTGCATTGCTTCCGATGCGAACGACCTCGCGCACGCGCGCCCACTATCGGGTTCCGCGACGACGACAACGGCGACGACGGCGGCGGCGGTGGCGGCGACAACGACATGCCCCGGAGAGTTTTCTACACATGCGCGGCTGGGTTATACACTAAATGATTATGTCCGGGTGCGGGGGCTAGCACTCGGATCCTCGACTTACCCCAGGTCTTGCCCCCCAGGTCCTCACAGACTGATCGGGCTCGAGAACTGCGATTAGAAAATGTGTGTTCAAGGCTCTCGTAGTGACTTCTCACGATGTTCGGGAGCCTTTCGACGGGGGTCAGTGCAAACGGGGGTCAGCCAGAGCGCCAGAGTTTGAAGGATCCTGCAGAGCCAGGGGCGCATTGACCCGGGTTAGAGGATCAGGACTCTGCAGGATCCTGCAGGGCCTGACTAACCTGGATTTGGATTCACCTGGGTCAGTAGATCCCCGAGATGTTGCAACTCGTTCCGCGCCGTCGGGCCTCACGGTCTCTCACGAGTCGGGCGATGGCTGGCGCGATGGTAACGGGCCCTGCGGGAAACGGCTCCCGGAGGTTTTTGGCCGTCCTCGGGACCGGGGACCGTCGAAGAGCGACTCGTGACGAAAAGCCGGCCCCAGGGGAAGGCCCGGGGGTCTAGGACCCGTTTCTTCTGGACTCCTCGTCCTCCTCCTCCTCCGTCTCCTCCTCCTCCTCCTCCTCCTCCTCCTCCTCCTCCTCCTCCTTTCAAGGTAGTCCTCATTGTGTTTTGTTCTGCTTTAGGGCGACGATGGAGGTTTGGGCGGCGTTTGGGTTTTTTTTTGAGCCAGCCACGAGGGGCCTCCGCTGGGGCCTCCAGGGGCCCTCCAGAGACTTCCAGAGGCCTCCAGACGACGTCGGTCGTCGTCGCCCTCCTCGTGGTCCTCCTCGTCCTCGTCTTCATCGTCTTCGTCGTCCTCGTCTTAGTCGTCCTCGTCGTCTTCGCCGCCATCGTCGACTTTCTCTTCGTCGTCGAGGAGAGAGAGAGAGAGAGAGAGAGAGAGAGAGAGAGCGAGAGACAGAGACAGAGACAGAGACAGAGACAGACAGACAGACAGGCAGGCAGGCAGGCAGACAGACAGTGACAGAGACAGAGACAGAGACAGGGACAGAGAGAGAGAGAGAGTGAGCAAGAGGGACCTAGGCCCGTCAGACGCAGATTGCAGTGGCCGTAGTCGCCTCGACATTTCAGTTTTCGAGAGGATCCAGCAGCAAGGCATCGCGCTTGCCTGCTCGGATAACTCATTCCCTCAGAGTTTGTCGTTATAGGCTTCTAGTGGGGGTTTAATGGGACCGCAGAAGAGTCACGCAGGGGGCACGGGGAGCCCAAGACCGCCCGGTCTGGCAGCCATTGCGCCAGCCGTCTCGCCAGAGCTCTCGTAACAATTGGTTCAGGTAGCGTGCTCTCGTCAAAATGCCTCTACTGGTTTGGTCTGGACGGCCACTACCGCTTGTGAAAGACACTGCGGTGCACATTGCCATGCTCTCGCCCCCTGTCACACGGCCACGATGATCCGTTTGCAAGAAATACGCCGCGGTGCACATGCTGTGCTCCCACCCCTGTCACACGGCCACGATACCGTGCAACACCCTACACGACGGTGCACACGACCGTGCCCTCACCCCGGTCACGCGGCCACGCTCCTTTCTGCACAGAAGTGCACCCGCTGCACATGGCCGTGCTCCCGCCCCTGTCACGACTAGGAATCCCCAGGCAGACCTAGGAATGCACGTGTTCACTAGCCGACCTCCTGCTCCTCGACCCGCCTCTTCACATTTGCTGTGATGAGGGTGCTTCGAGGCCGCGCGGGCCAGTGCAGCCGAGGCATTCGTTCGACCCGTTGGCCTGTCCTTTCTCGTTTACATGCAGCTGGTGGAGTTGGATGGGTGCTTTGCTGGTATGATTATGGTTTAAATGTGTGCGTTGTAAATTCTACAGTCTGGGAGCCCAAGGCAAAGGTTCGGGCTGAGTTTGCAGGCCACTCACGGTCCAGGGCGAGCGGGTGGCGACCGAGCCGAATTTCAGTCTCAGGATCACCGAAGCGATACACCCCAAAGGTCAGCTGGAGCGTCTCGTGCTTTTATTCTAAGACATGGCCGTCGATGGCGACGGCAAAAATGGCGTAGGATCCAACCACATGCAGTTGTAAGTACCGTGGTTGTGAGTATCGCATTCGGTGAAGCTCCGCATGGGGAGGCGAAACGCGTGAGGAGCTGTGCCGAAATGGGCGAGGGGACCGCATGCGAACTGTGCAACTGGGGCCTTGAGTGGAGGCTCCCTATGCGGCCACGAAGCGTGTCAGGGGCATGGCAAAATGGGCGGAGGAGGGAGGCGCATGCGAACCCTGCCACTGGGCCCTGGGTGGGGCTCCCTATGAGGCCACGAAGCGTGGGAGGGATGTGCTATTATGGGCGGGTGAAACGCATGCGAACCTTGCCACTGGGGCCCTGGGTCGAGCTCCCTTTTGGACCACGCACCAAGTGAAAGCTGGGGCCCTGTGTGGAGTTCCCTGTGGCGCCACGAAGCGTGCACGGGGCGTGCTGGAGTAGGCAAGGGAGACGCACGCGAACCTTGCCACTGGGGCCCTGGGCGGAGCTCCCTATGGGGCAACGAAACGTTTGAGGAGCGCGCCGTCATGGACGGGGGAGACGCATAGGATCCTTGCCACTGGGGCCTTCCCCCCTTCATGGGACCACGAAACGTGTGAGGGGCTGTGCCGTCATGGACGGGGGAGACGCGTGCGGACCTTGCCATTCGGGCCCTGGGTCCTGGGTGGAGCTCCCTTTGGGGCCACGAAACGCGTGAGGGGCTTGCCGCAGTCGGCGGGGGAGGCATGCGAACCGTGCCAATGAGGCCCTGGGTGGAGCTCCCTGCGGGGCCACAAAACGTGAGAGAGCAACAAAACGTGTGAGGGGTGTGCCGACATGGTCGCGCGGAGGACAGAGGCAATGATGAAGAGGACGCGGGTCGCTGTCTTTTCAAAACGAGACACCAACAACACTGGATGGTTGGGAGAAAGAGGAGAGGGAGAGAGAAAGAGAAGGATACGAGCAGGTCCCAACATCTTCGTACGGCGGAGGCCCCGTGGGTCGAAATGACAGGCTGGGCCCGGCGGAATGGATTACGAAGTCTCCCCCTGCGGGGCCCTTCTGGGCTCTGGGGGGGGAGGCTTTGTTGGAGGGGGGTGGGGGGAAATCCTTAGACGCTCAGCATGAAAGAGAAGAATCCTGAGGGAAACGGGTCCTGGGCCCCGAGGGCCCTGCTGAGGCGCCAGAAGTGTCATCAACTACTCGGGATGGAAAACTGATCTTAGGATAAAGCCCCAGGGTCCAGAACCAGCGTGACCACGACCAAACGACTAAGAAATGTCCCAGGGGTCGCAGCGCCCAATTGGGAAGCGGACGATTGAAAAGATATTCTTGCTTCGTCGTCGTCGTCGAGGCCGCCAGGCCACATCGAGCGGCCCAGACGAGAACGAACGATTTCTGTGAATCGTCCATGCCCGACATGTATTTGTGTATATCAATTGCTCGACCACATCAGATCGTTCCAGAGCCTTCTCAGAGCGGGGGAAGAGGAGGCGGAGGAGGATGACGACGACGAGGAGGACGACACAGCGACGAGGAGGAGGAGGAGAAGGAGGAGAAGGAGGAGGGAGGAGGGAGGAAGGAGGAGGGAGGAGGGAGGAGGGAGGAGGGAGGAGGAGTAGCCAGAGGAGGAGGAGGGTAAGGAGGAGGAGGAGGAGGAGGAGGAGGAGGAGGAGGAGGAGGAGGAGGAGGAGGGGCCTCCTGAGACGGCCGCGGCACGCCGCACCTCCTCTGTGCCACACCTGCCCTCGGAGATCCTGCCTGAGTTCACCCCTCGCCTCGCCGGCGCGTGCCGCGGCGGCGGCCCCCTCCGGCCGGCCCCGCCCTCCCTCCGTGGCTCTGGCGTTCAGTCGGGCATGTCACTCTACAGGGGGAATGTTCAAAAATCGTTAAAAACAAGTCGGGGGTCGATGTTTCCATTACGTTTGACTATGTCTGCGTATTGTTTGACTATTGTGCATTTGTTTCCACAGTCCGCCTGTAGGAGGACATGCCCGACCTAAGTCTGGTGCTGCAGTACTCGCTGTGACTTGATCCGCGCGGACCTCCAAAAGGTAATGCTTATGCATTTTGTTATTCCTCTATGCAAGTGGATTGCAAGTCCGCAAGTCGGGCCCACGACATCCCATTCTCAGGCGCAGAGCACCCAGTTGGACTTGCAGGCGCCCTGCTGCTGGGCTGCAACCGCCTTTCGGATGCTGCAGCTGTTGCAGGTCGAACCGGCCACCACAGCGTGCTGATCCGATCTCCCGATGCGATGTGTTCAGCCCGTGGCCCCGGAGCCCTCCCGACCCCTTCCCCCAGGATTAGCTCTGCGCCCAGGACCCATATCTGTGGTAGCCCCGGGGCCCGAGAGCGGGCCCCCGAGGCCGAAGTCAAGGCAGGTCAGCCAAACAGAGCAAAAGCTACATCGCCCGAGATCCTGGATCGCTGCGGCCGCCCCGCTCCGCACGCCGGAGGTGCACGTCTACGCGGGAGCCGACGCCGAGTTCGAGCTCGTGGAGGACGGGCCCCTTTGCGGCCCTCCCTGGGCGGGTAGCCGCGTAACGGGAGGGCCGGAAGAGCCCCTCCGGCTGTCCCGAGGAAGGTCAGCGCCCAGGCGGCTAGCACCGGCAGAGGGGAAGTCGAGATGCGCAGGCAGCTGCCCGGCCTGCGCACGACCGTGACGTGTATTTGGTCCTCGTCCCTCCTCGTCCACCTCCTCCTCCCTCGCCTTTCTCTCCCTCCCCCTCTCCACGTGGACTCGGTGCGTGGTTGCTGCTCCGTTTCCGTCCTCTCCTCCGCTGGCGGTGCTGGGCCAAAACGTCCTCCTCCTCCTCCTTCTCCTCCGCCTCCTCCTCCGCCTCATCCTCATCCTTCTCCTCCTCCTCCTTCGCCTCGTCTCGGGAGCCTCTGTCCCGCCGACGGCGCGCACGGGTGGAGGATAATTGAGGCGGCACTGCACAAGAGGAGGCGGTTCTCGAAAGGCCAGCATCCGATGTGCGGCGAGAATGCGACGATTATCGCGAGTTGGCCGTTATCCCGTAACGCGTTCAGAGCTACAGAGCCTCCCTCTGCATACGCCTTCGCCTGGCGCCGTTGTCCCGACTTGGCCCGACGGGCCAAACTTGCAGGCAGAGGACAAATCTCCTCCTCCTCCTCCTCCTCCTCCTCCTCCTCCTCCTCCTCATCATCATCATCATCATCATGTTCCCTTTCCTCCTCCTCCTCCTCCCCCTCCTCTTCCTCATCATCATCACCCTTTATCATCATCATCATCCTCATCATCATCAACAACAACATCAGCATCATCATCATAATCCGTAGCCGTGTTGGCTCAAGCTGATTCTCCACATCCCTCGCAGGCGCCCACGCGCAGCGGTCAGCGGCGCGCGATTGGGAGATGAACAATGGCGACGGGGGGCTGCCCGCTGGCGCGAGGACGGGGCGGCCCATCAGGCGTGGCAGCGCGCTGCGCAGGAAGGAGGAGGACGAGGTTGGAGCTTCAGCGGCCCGCCGACGAGCGCGGGCACGGCGCATCGTTGCTGCCGTGGCGGCGGCTCGCAAGGCGTCCAGCGGCGGTCCAAGTTTCTGGCAGGACCGTGAGACTGCTGCGCGCCCCGCCCTGCGCCTGGCTGCCTCGGGATGCCGTGTCCCAGGCGCGACGCGGCGGCGGCGGATCGCCGCGTGGCACGCGCTGCTGGCCCCTGTGGGCGGATTCGCGCGCGCGTCCGCAGAGGGCATCTCGCGGCCCGCGGCAGGCCCCCGCCTGGGACGGCAGCGCGCGAACCCCGTGGTGCTTGACGAGGCGCCCGGCCACGCGGAGGACGGGATCGTCGAGGAGCACGTCGACGACGAGGAGCCGGCCGACCCCCTCCAGGCGAGGATGGCCGTTGCGCTCGCGGCTCGCTTGGCTGCGGGGCTCGTCGCGAAGCTGCAGGCCCTGCGCGAGCAGTCGCGCCCGCGGCTGCGCGCCGAGTGTCCACCACCCTTCACCCCCACGCTGGAGGTCATCAGCGAGGATGTCGGTGAGACCGTGGACAAGGAGTTCGGGTCCGAGGAGGAGGAGGAAGAGGAGGATGCGCTGCACATTGCGTTCCCGGGCGGCGACGCGCACGCCGACAAGGGCCCAGAGCGGGCAGGAGGGCCCCTGCCAGCAGCCGCCAGCCCCGACGGCGTCCCCCCGTCCGCCGAGGCCGCGACGGAGCTCGTGCCGCACGACGGTTTGGTGGCGTACAGGACGCGGGTCAGCCTCCCCATAGACGCCTTCAGGGACCTGTGCAAGGCGCGGGCGGCCTTCGGGAGGTCACCGACGCCGTTTGCGCGGCGGCGAGCTCAGATCACGGCCGTCGGCCGCGACGAGATCGACGACGAGGTGCCGCTGGCGGGGATGGGTTTCGTCGTGGAAGGGCGCGCGGAGATCGGCCCTTGCTTGGAGCCGATAGCACCGCCCTCGCAGCGCGCGCGGTGACGTTCTGCTCGCGGCGCCAGGCGGGCTCGAGGATCGCGAATGCCTGCGGCGAGCGTCTGGCCCTCGGAGGGGGGAAGGGATCCCGCGGCGTAGGCTGTACCCCGCGGGGCTCGGCGCACGCCAGGGTTCACCCCCCCCCACCCTACTCGGGCTTGCTGCGCTCGCGGCGCCAGGCGGGCCCGAGGATCACGAATGCCTGCGACGAGCGTCTGGCCCTCGGGGTTGTCAACCGTATGCCCTTCACCATTTAGATGTGTCGCCTCTCGCTTCATCCTTCTCGCCTTGTTTCTCCTTGTCCCCCATCTTTCCTGATGCTCTTGCGCCCCGCTGCCGTTTAGGGCCCTTGGGCCAGGGCGCCATTCCGGGAAAAGATGCGATCCTCGATCGACGAACCGATCCGAGATCGACATAGTTGGTAGCGGAGCTACGGCTCCACGGACTAGCGCGCGCGGGGATCCCAGATCGGCAGATCGTCATCGGCCATGACATCCGCCATCTTCGAGGGATCTGGTGCGAAGGCCTGCCCAATAGCCGGTCCATCGCAAAGCTGGGAAAGCTATGAAGAAGACCTGCAAGCATGGCATCTGAGCACCGAGCTGAAAGCTACGACTATCGGCCCCCACGTAAAGTCCAGAGGTTTTTCTGCGAACAACACGTTTAAAAACCAAGCCAAGCTGTTAGACATGAGCCGTCTTAGTAGCGACCCTGTAGGCGAAACCGGAGCAACTGGGAAGTTAGGTTTCGATTACTTGGTAGAGTTCATGCAAACAGAAAACATAACAAAAGACGACGTAGCTAAGATCATCCGTTTTGCTTCCTGGCTGGAGTTGAAACGGGGTAACCAGAAAGTAGAAGACTACGTGAACGAGTCGTTCCGCCTGCTACAGGAAGTAGACCAGGATTTGTTCGTTGTCTTAGAGGGTTTTGTGAAATCGTTGATTTTGATCATCAACGCACAACTCACGCAACAACAACTGAGCAACTTGTCGACGAGACTCGACTTGGACGCCACTCTGACTTTAGCTAAGACCAAGAGTGCGATCCTTAAAGTACTAGGAGACAACCCTTTAGCCAAAACGGCGGAGCACCAAGGCTACGAAGCCCGGGAAGACTGGCCTTCAGAGGACTTTGAACAAGACTGGGACGAACAGAGCTGGCAGGGAGCTAGTTGGACAGAAGAAGCAAACTACGGCCAAAAAGGCTGTTTGCGGTGTGGCAGTCCAAGCCACTGGGTCGACAAATGCCCACACCCACCGAAAGGAAAAGGCAAGGGCACTGACAAGGGCAAGACTGGCAAAACGCCTTTGGGAAAAGGCAAAGGAAGCTGGTCCAAGGGCTACTCGAGCGGACAGCCGAAGCCCGCGACGAGCAAAACCAAAAGCAACAAGAGCAAAGGCAAATCCCAGGCAGGGAAGAGCCAAGCAACAGGAAAATCGTCATTCGCTTTCGCCGCCGACGAGTGGGAAAGCTGGATTGGCGGTTGGTCCGAGAGCCCTGACTGGGCCGCAACGGACTGGAACTACACGCAGCACCAGGACCCGGATGCGTCCGCAGTCCTCGCGTGGTCGTTTATGGCTGCTTCTGCGTCTGGACCGCCGTGCTCGGGCTTCCCAGCCGGTGGAAAAGGCAGCAGCCAACCGGCGTCGTCGTCAGCCTCCTTGTCTGGACCGCCGTGCTCGGGCTTCCCAGCTGGTGGAAAAGGCAATAGGCAACCAGCGTCGTCGTCCACGGCTGCCCCTTCGTCTGGACCGCTGTGCTGGAGTTTCCCGGCTGGTGGAAAAGACAGCAGCCAGGCAACGTCTTCTGGACCGCCGTGCTGGAGCTTCCCGGCTGGTGGAAAGGACGACGCTTGCGCCTCGTCCGCAGTGCTGCCTGTGGCTGCCCACAGCGACGGTTGTCCGCGCCGCGTCGTTCAGGTCAGCTGCTGTGGCAAGTGATGTCGCAGTACAGGTGCATGTGCCACACCGAGTGCGGCAACGCGTTCTTCGCGTGCGAGCCGTGCACCCCAGTGGACATGAGCCTCTGCGAGCCGCGCTGGTGCTTGGGCCTTGCCCCAGAGAAGCGCGGAAGCGGCGGTTACGACGACGAAGGCGAAGACGACTCTGAGCACGACAGCAACGGCAACGACGACGGTCGCGACACCACGCTGGAAGAAGAAAAGGGCGGAACAGCAGCAGCTTTGCCTGCGACCGTGTTAGAAGACAGCATGCACGCAGACATTGGTGACCACGAGGCCCTCACAGACTCTGGTTGCTCCGAGGGCATGGTCAGCAAGGAACGCCTGGGAAACTTCAGAGCCTTGCTTCAACAGGAGTACCCCGAGCTCTACGTGAGCGAAAGGCCGTCGAACACGAAGTATCGGTTCGCTGGCGGCGACCCGAAGACGGCGGAAGCCGTTGCAACCGTACCTGCCCATCACCTGGATGCCACCACAGAGTTCGAAGTGCTGAACACTGGCCCCGAACAGACAAAGGCCGCGCCTTTCTTGTTGGGAAAGCCGCGGCAAAAGAATCTGAAAGCAGTGATCGACTTCGAAAAGGACACCATGCACTCGAAAACCACAGGCACCACTGTCCAACTGAAAACTTCGAGTGCGGGACATTACCTGTTCCCTCTCATGTTGCTCAACAGTGTTGCCGCGGTAGCAACAGAGGCACATGACTGCGATTTTGCACCACTTAGTGACGCAGCAGCTTTCGAGACTGTGACCGTTCAAGAGCACCCGAGAGCCTTCGCGGTGTCTCTTCCGCCGCGGCTGGAGCAACTACGCGCCGACCTTCAGACGGAAGCTGGTCTCAAACAGATGCGCGACAAGCTCGCGCGCCCGACCGTGGACCAGTTGATGCGACGCATCACTCCTGCCTTGCTTCCCGAGACAGTGCCACAGGTCAGAAAGCTCGCCGAAAAAGTCACGCAGTGTTGCAAGATCTGTGACAAGTTCCGTAAACCACACGCGCGCCCAAAGACTTCTGGCATGTCTGCGAGAAGTGTAAGCGACCTTGTGTGTATTGATTCCTTTGAAGTGTCAGTATGCGGAAGCAAGTACATCTTTCA